TGTCAAAATAACTCAGCTCTTCCAGATAAAAATGGAATATTCTGCCCTTATCAATATTTCAAAGAGAACATCTTCTGAAAATCTATGATTTTGAAAAATAAGATCTGGGGCCGGCGCCGCGGCTCACTAGGCTAATCCTCTGCCTGCAGCGCCAGCACACCGGCTTCTAGTCCCGGTTGGGGCGCTGGATTCTGTCCCGGTTGCCCCTCTTCCAGGCCAGCTCTATGCTGTGGCCCGGGAGTACAGTGGAGGATGGCCCAGGTCCATGGGCCCTGCACCCCATGGGAGACCAGGAGAAGCACCTGGCTCCTGGCTTCAGATCAGAGCGATGCACCTGCCATTGGAGGGTGAACCAACGGCAAAGGAAGACCTTTCTCTCTGTCTCTCTCTCACTGTCCACTCTGCCTGTCAAAAATAAATAAATAAATAAGGCCTGGAGCCGGCGCTGTGGCACAGTGGGTTAAAGCCCCAGACTGCAGTGCTAGTATCCCATATAGGCACCAGTTCGAGTCCCAGCTGCTCCTCCTCCAATCCAGCTCTTTGCTGTGGCCTGGGAAGGCAGTAGAAGATGGCCCAAGTGCTTGGGACCCTGCACCTGTGTGTGAGACCTGGAGGAAGCTCCTGACTCCTAGCTTCGGATCAGCTCAGCTCTGGCCGTTGCGTTCATTTGGGGAGTGAACCAACAGAATGGAAGACTTTTCTCTCTGGCTCTACCTCTCTCTGTAACTCTTTCAAAGAAATAAAATAATTCTTTAAAAAAAAAAAAAGTCTGCCAGCTCTCTGTCCTCTTGTTAATTAATGAAATAATCTTCACAGGTTTGCACCCATCAAGCAAGGTTAGTGCATTGACACAGATAAGGAAACTGGTGTTCTCTAGGGACTCTAGGTATTTTCCCAATGTCACATAGCTGGTGAGCAGTAGAGCCAGCATTCTACGCCTACCTGCACACACACAGAAGTATTTCAAAAACCACGGATAGTTCATAGCAGCAAATTTTTAAAACTAAACAGCATTTTTCTGAACTTAATTTTTGAGTTATAACTGATATGCAACAGAATGCCCAGACATTAAGTGTGGTTCAGTGAAATTTGGCGCTTGTATACACCCACGTAACTACCACCTAATCCAAGACAAAGAGCATTCTCATCATCACACCAGAAAACTCCCTTGACTTATGCTTCTTTCCAATCGATTTCCCTCATCTCCAGAAATCACTTTCTGATTTTTTTAATCACTGCCGATTAGTTTTGCCTATTCTTGGACTTCATACTTGATGTATTCTTTAGTGTTTGGCTTGTTTCAGTTACACAATGTTTTTGAGATTTGCCCATGATGTTGCACATATCAGTAGTTTGGTCTTTTTTATTACCAAGTAGTAGTTCATCAGATGAATGCATTTCAATTTGACTATTATTAATGGGCACTTGGATTGTCTCCAGTTTGGAAACTACAGTGTGAAGACTGTGTGAAGAAGGCCATAGTAGCATTTATTTTTACTAATTTCAAATTGGAAACAGCCTGAATAGCCATCAATAGCAGAGTAGATAAACTATGACATGATAGGGCACAGAAATAATGAACAGGGGTCAGTGTTATGATGCAGTGAGTTAAGCACCACTTGTGATGTTGGCATCCCGTATAGGCCTTGGCTGGAATCCTGGCTTCTTCACTGCTGATCCGGCTCCCTATTAATGTGCCTGGGAAAGCAACAAAAGATGGCCTAAGAGCTGGGGCCCTGCCGCCATGTAGGAGACCCAGATGGAGCCCCAGGCATCTGGGTGTGGCTTGGCCCAGCCCCAGCCATTGAAGCCATTTGGGGAGCAAACCAGCAGATAGAAGATCTCTCTTAATCACTCCCTCCCTCTTGCTCTCTCTCTCCCTCTTTCTCTTTAACTCTGCTTTTCAAATAAATATATCTTAGGGGAAAAAAAAAAAGATTTACTGCTGGGTGAACAAGATGGATGATCTCTTCCAAATATAATGTGTAGCTAAAGAAGCCAGGCACAAAATGAGTAGAGCCTCTGTTATTCCATTTTTATTGTTTATGATTGGCAAAAATTAAACCATATTATTAAAGTCAGAATATGGGAAGAGGGGTAGCGACTGTGGCACAGTGGGTTAAGCCTCTGCTTGGGAGGCATATGTTCCACATCAGAGTGCCTAGAATCGAATCCTTCTTCCAACCCACCTTCCTGCTAACGCACACCCTGGGAAGCAGCAGATGATGGCTCAAGTTCTTGGGTCCCTGCCAGCCACCTGGGAGACCTGGATGGTCATGCCCTCTCGGGCACTAGATATGGTACCAATAAACAAAGTCTCCAGAGATGAAGCTGGCCCTCAGCTTTTGAATCTTGCCAGCTGTGAGAATCCAGACATCAAGGAACAGAAACATGTTACCCAAGTGCCTTGCCCAAATTCTTGACCAACAGGATCTAGGTTGAAATGGTTGTTTGGAGCCACTAGACTTTGGGGTCATGTTATACAGCAGTAATAACCCAATAGCTCTGGAACTCCTAAGTTTTGACTTTCTTGAGGATGGCCCTTCCTCCAGATCCTCGAGCTGGCCATCTGTTGAGGAGGACAGCTAGACTGCAGGGAACACATGGTCTTACACTGCAAAGGGCGGAGGCCAAGTTTGCTGAATTGTTTTGAGGGTAAGAGTACTTGAAGGCCGCCCTGAAGTGCTGGATGACACCCTGCTCCGTGTATATTCTTTCCTTAGAGTGGTTTTTTTAAGGCTGATAAATGGAGAAATCAACACAATACAGGTGGTCAGAAACTGTCTACAAAGCTAAATTTCAACCTGAGAAAGTCCACTGTCTTTGAGTTTATAGAAGAGAATGACCAGGATGTAACAATGACAGTGTTTGAGAGACACCTGTTTCTAATTTTAAAACCTGCTAGTCGGCAGCAGGGCTGTTTCTCTCCTTCTTTTGAAATGGCCTCTCGGAAAGCTTTCACTCATACCTTATGAAGATTCATCCTGTGTTATTTTTTGGATAGTAATGGTTAATGTAAAAATCAAGGAGCAATGGTGTTGTGGTGTTGTCCAGTATTTCACTAAGTGGAAGCCCCGTGAGGACAGTAACTTTGTTGGTTTTTTCACTGCTGTATGCCCACTGCCCAGCCCATTGCCTATCACAAAACAAACATTTAAACTGGATAAATAAAATTACAGAAGGGACAGAGAGAATGCGTTAATTCTTTGATGGACATGAAACTCCTTATCAGCAAAGTTAGTTTTTTAATGTTTTTAGTCTACAAGTAAGAGAAACTGTTTTCTAGGTTTGAAAGGATAATGGATATGTCTATCAATGAGCCAGCAAGAAACAGATAAAAACAAAAACTAGGATATTTGAGTCAATATGAATTTTTATTAACACACATTTGTCAAAGTCTATACAAACCAAAACATTCCTGTGTTTTAAAATGTCCATTATTACAAACATACAAAGAAACAAAAAGTGTTACCAAAAGTTAGCTACTCAATTTCATGGTAAAACAGTGCCATGATTTTTAAAAATCAAAATTTTCAAGACTGAGGTTTCTTCCTTCCCTTTTAGGAACTTACGGAAAGTTAGAAAATGTGTGGATTTGCTTTTTATTAAATGCTAAGACCTTAAAAAAAAGATTTTTGTATAAAACTAAACATGTTTTCATATTGTTTATACTTCACATAACAGAGTTTTTCAGTCTTTAAAATTAAAAAAAAAAAGACTAAATTTTGCAAATCTTCTCCCCAAGGTCAATGCAAATGCATCTGAAAAATATTATCTCACAGTTGATCTTTACCTAAGAGTTTCTCATTCAAAAAGTTACAGAACTGTGTAGCGCTGTCATTTCCCTTGCTCACAGGGGAAAAGTCCATGACTCCCTGGGTGACACAGAAGCAACATGGTCCACTGCATCCCTTTCCTATTTCCACATCTCTGTCCAATTCTGCGCAGGGCTCCGGACTTAGGAGAACGCCACCACAAATCACAGAGCACCTGCTTTTAGGACACTTCTAGCAAGCTATGCCGACCACCCCAGCGTGGAGGTGCCAAGGCCCGCTGCCCTCACAATGGCCTCTACTTGTGCTCTCCTGCATTGACGACTCCAGGGTCGTTGGTTTTGCTGTTTTATGGCACATGACTCCCTCCCTAATTCCTTTCAGAAACAGCACACAGAGGACCTGCAAGTGTGGCTACCAGTGCGAATCCATCCCCTTTCTGGAAAAGCAAATCCATGTGCCCAGTGGATCAAGAGAGGAAGACAGGGCACACACCGCTCTGGCTGCACTCCGGCTGCTCCTGAGAAGCCCGTTTTCACTCTTGTTCCACTGACAGCAGGGAGTGTACAGGCTGGGATGGGTGAGGAGGAGTGGGGAGAAGGTACAGTGATAGGATTTCTCCCAATCAGACGCAGAGTCCACACCTGAGCAGCTGTACGAACCCCAGAAATACTCTTACAGTTCAAATATTATCCTGTTTTGAATTTGCTCATGTTAAAAAAAAAAAAAAAACTGAGATAAGAAGTAAAAGGTCTTCTTTCAAAAAGAAGTGGCAGTGAGAATTTAAAAGCAACCACAAAAAACAATCAGGAAAGAGGTGAGGAGGGAAGTGTCCAGTACAACCTGGACGACTTTTTTCTCTGCCCTTACTTAAAAAGACAGACTGTTAAATCTTTGCTCCCTCCCTTAAGCATCTCCTTAAATGCTCTTCCAAGAAATCCTCCAAAAGGCACTTAACTCCATACGTATGTATTGAAATTGTTTCACCTTAGCAATCAGTTTTCAGAGACTCCAAGGTAACAACAAAAGATCTGATTCTTTTACTAAAAGCTAGAGAACAGGACTGTTTTTTGTTTCAAGAGGTGTTGCTTTTACAAGAACAGGCTAGTCTACTGTTACTCCTTTTTCAAGAAAAGTTTCTTGTTTTAAAAAATAAATAAAACTCTGGCTATACATAGTACAAAGTTCATACATAATATACCTGGAAAAAAACCCAAGAATATACCCTGAAGCAATTTTTTTTTTTTTTTTTTTTTTGAGAGATAGCTTCTTCCATTGTACCAAGTCTGAAGGTGGCAGTTTTCAAAGTTCAGAGGGCGGCAGTGATACGTGATGAACACCAAGCTAGTTGCTCCAATGGCAGGATGCAGTGATGGACAAAAGCAATCATTCTGCACATAACACGGAGCAGTTACCACCACAAAAAACAAACAAACAAACAAAACCAAAGAGGAGTACCGAGAGAGAGAGAAAGAGGGAGAGAGGGAAAGAGAAAGAGAGAGAGAGAGAGGGAGGGAGAGAGAGAAGCAGATGGGCGGGGATATGGGGATGGGACAGAGGAGAGGAGACAGAGAGGAGCCCGAAAGCGCACACACTCGAGCATGCAGTCATAACGCAGGTGTCTCCATTCAGCCCACTGCAGTCACACAAAGAAAGATAACTGTAATAAAATAGAGATTTCTTAAGAAAGCTTGCAATTCCCAGAGAACAGCCAGGTCTCCAACTCTAACCCCGGGTGACTCCATTTGCTGTCGCTGGAGCGCCTCCCTGTGGTCTATCATGGTGAGGTTATAGCTCCTGACTTCTCAGATTTCTTACTCTTGGACAAGGCTGCTGCTTGCTTCAGGAGCTCTCGGTTCTTGGCCTAAAAAAAAAAAAAAAAAAAAAAAAAAAAAATCAGCCAAGAAGAACCTTTAGCAGGATAGATGCAAAGCAGATAAGTGTAGATAAGTGTAGATGCAAACAATGTAGGGGGTTAGGAAGACAGGAATAATTCTAGAGACAGAAAACAACAAAAAGTTCTAGGACTTCACACTTGGCTCAGCAAAAACCGCTGCAGGTTAATCAGCCCACCTTAATCTCTTGGGACTCATTGTTACAAATGGATGCTTCATGTAATAAGAACAAACCAGGGCCAGCGCTGTGGCATAGTAGGTTAAGCCTCTGCCTGCAACGCCAGCATCCCATATAGGCACTGGTTCATATCCCAGCTCATCCTCTTCTGATCCAGCTCTCTGTTAATGGCCTGGGAAAGCAGTGAAAGATGGCCTAAATGCTTGGACCCCTACACCCATGTGGGAGACCTGGAAGAAGCCCCTGGCTCTGCACTGGCCCAGCTCCAGTCATTGTGACTATTTGGGGAGTGAACCAGTGGATGAAGACCTCCTCTGTGTCTCTTCCTCTCTCTGTCTGTAACTCTACCTCACAAATTTAAAACAACAAAAACAAACAAGCCAGAGAGTACTTTCATGGGGGCGAAAAACAGAATTTATAATTCATAAAACTGGTTTATTAAAAAATCAAAAAATTAATTCCATTCTTTTTAAGGAGAAAAGATCAGAACACATCCAAGAGTAAAACAACAAAAAATATCTAAAAGAAAGATTAGTGTGATTCATCAATGCTTAGAGAAAAAAGAAATCTAAGAGAAAATCATTTAAAAACAATCACATAGGCATATTAAGGCAGAGGGGGTTAAGCCAACACTTTGGAGCCTGCCTCCCATATTAGTGCCTGGAATCGAATCCTGGCTACTCCACTTCAGATCTAGCTTCCTACTAATGAACACCCTGGGAGGTAGCAGTTGATGGACCAAGTACTTGGGTTCCTGCCACCCAAGTAGGATACCTGGATGGAGTTCCTGGCTCCTGGCTTCAGCCTGGCTAAGCCCTGGCTGTTGCACTGAAGGCATTTGGGGAGTGAACCAGCAGACAGAAGATATCTCTGTCTGTATTTCAGTAAATCTTTTGTTTGTTTTAATTTGAAAGGCAGAGTTACAGAGAGGGAAAGGAAGAGATAGATTTTCCATCCTCGGGATCACTCCCCAAATGGTCCACTGGCCAGGGATGAACCAAGCCAAAGCCAAGAGCTTCATCCAGGTCTTCCACATGGGTGCGAAGGCCTAAGAACTTGGGCCATCTTCTACTGCTTTGCCAGGCACATTAGTAGGGAGCTGGATTGGAAGTGGAGCAGCCCAGACATGATCCAGCACCCATACGCGATGCCAGAATTGCAGGTCTCAGCTTAACCCATTGCATCACAACACCAGCCCCTCAACCAATCTTAAACACCTCCCAGAACATCTACGTACATCAGAGTTACCATATAATTTAAGTAGTCACCTGCAATTGTTCTGTGACTTCTTTGTGGGTTTTCTCCATCTGGTTCATTTTGGCCCTCATTTGAGATTCCTGGTACTGAAAATCAGCCTTCAGCTCTGTAATCTAAGGGAAAAGAGGAAGAGTGATTAGAAGAAATGTCTGTGCAACAAAATGTGTTTTAGTGGTGGATGTCTGGCCCACTGTTGGACACCCACATCCCACATCAGTGCCTCGTTCCAGTCTTGGTTACTCCACTTCTGATCCAGCTTCCTGCTAACACTCAACCTAGGAAGGCAACAGATGATAGCTCAAATACCTGGCTCCCTGCCACCCATGTGGGAGACCTGGATTGAGTTCTAGGCGCCTGGCTTCAGCCTGGCCCAGCTGACTTTTGCAGGCATTTGGGGAACAAATCCATGTTTGGGAAATCTCTCTCCATCTGTCTCTCTCTGGCTTCCAAATAAAATGAAGATAAATAAATTTTAAAAATTAAAAAGAAAAGTGGCTTTCTATCAGAGAGCTGAATGATCCCCACAACTGACCAATTCAGGGCTCTCCTGCAGTCCTTACCCAAATCAAAGCCAACGTATTCTATATCCTATTTTTTTTCTAACACTTTTCCTGAAGATTATACAAAATCCCAAACATTTCTGATACATACCACTAACAAGAACAAACACGTTTTTTTAAAAAGATTTATTTTATTATTTGAAAGCAGAGGGGCCAGCATTGTGGCATAGTGGATGGAGCCTCCACCTGAAGTGCTGGCATCCCATATGGGTGCCGGTTCTAGTCCCGGCTGCTCCTCTTTTGATCCAGCTCTCTGCTATGGCCTGGGAAAGCAGTAGAAGATGGCCCAAGTCCTTGAGCCCCTGCACCTGCATGGGAGATCTGTAGGAAGCTCCAGGCTCCTGGCTTCAGATCGGCGCAGCTTTGACCATTGTGGCCATCTGGGGTGTGAACTAGCGGATGAAAGACTTCTTTCTCTCTCTCCGCCTGTGCCTCTCATAACTCTGCCTTTCAAATAAATAAACAAATCTTTTTAAAAAAAGAAAGCAGAGCTACAGAGAGAGGGAGAGACAGAGAGAGAAAGTGAGAGATCTTTCATCTGCTAGTTCACTCCCCAAGTGGTTGCCAACAGCCAGGGCTGAGCCAGGCAGAAACCAAGAACTGACTTAGGCCACCTTGCGCTGCTTTCCCAGGTGCATTAGCAGGGAGCTGGATAGGAAGTGGAGCAGCCTGGACTTGAACTGGGATTACTAGCATTTCAGGCAGCGGCTTTAATGGCTACACAGCAATGCTGGCCCCATAACTAACAAGATTTTTAGATTTCATGTGTTTGATGTAAATCAACAACCCTCCAAATAATCACTTCCAAATAAAACAATGACATCAAATGACTGATGATTTGAGAGAAGCCACGAGAGTTAACAGCTGCTGCCAATTACTGAACTTTTACCATGTTCTGTTCTACAAAGACTATTTAACTCAATCTTTACGATAAGCCTGTGGGACTAGTATACTCTTTTTATAAACAAGAAAGCTGAGGTTCTGGCTTTGATCATTCAGTCAGCAAATAACAGAAGGCGATTTCAAACCCAAGACCCCCCTTCTGTTGACTTGGCTATTCAAGGAGCAAGAGAAAGGCCACACGAATCCCAGGAGTGATGTGTGACCTGAGTTGTTGGTTTTGTTTGTTTGTTTGTTTGTTTGTTTTGACAGGCAGAGTGGACAGTGAGAGAGAGAGGAGACAGAGAGAAAGGTCTTCCTTTGCCATTGGTTCACCCTCCAATGGCCGCCACGGCCGGCACGCCACGGCCGGCACACCGTGCTGATCCGAAGCCAGGAGCCAGGTGCTTCTCCTGGTCTCCCATGGGGTGCAGGGCCCAAGCACCTGGGCCATCCTCCACTGCACTCCTTGGCCACAGCAGAGAGCTGGCCTGGAAGAGGGGCAACCGGGACAGAATCCGGCGCCCCGACCAGGACTAGAACCCGGTGTGCTGGCGCCGCAAGGCGGAGGATTAGCCTAGTGAGCCGCGGCGCCGGCCCGAGCCTGTGTTCTAAGCCAAACAGTGTGACCTTGATCTTCAAGTGTCTGAGAAATAACCTACTATTTGTTTTTGCTTCTTTTAAAGCCCTGAGTCTGCAAGGCAGTGGAAACAAGTATTCATTTGATCTCTATTTGGCAAAAATCCTTTTCTGTGCCACTAATGAAGAGAATATAATTGGGTCCAATTTCAAATGACAGTGAATATGGCTCTCTTCCATGAATCTCCACCTTAAGGCAAGAGGAAAGCACAGTACAGTACAGAGAACAGTCAAGTCAGAAAGACCTGTGTTGAGAGGACTGGGGGAGAGGCCGGCACTGTGGCGTAGCAGATAAAGCCGCTGCCGCTGCCTGTGATGCCAACATCCCATATGGGTGCCAGTTTATGACAGAAGGGCTTCTCCCCTTCCAATCCAGCTCCCTGCTAATGCACCTGGGAAAGCAATGGAAGATGGCCCAAGTGCTTGGGCCCCTTCACCCACATGGAGACACATGGGAAGATCTCTGTGTCTCCTCTTATTCCCTCTCTGAAACTGTGACTTTCAAATAAATAAATCAGTCTTTTAAGAAGAGGCCTGGGCTCATTCTCTTGTTCTGCCATTTACTAGTTTTGTGATTTGGAGACACTATTTAACCTCTCTGGGTCTGTCTGTTTGTGTTTCTTTCTTTTTTTTTTTTTTTTCTTTCAAGATTTATTTATTTATTTGAGAGGCAGAGTTACAGATAGGCAGAGGCAGAGAGAGAGAGTCTTCCATCTGTTGGTTCACTCCCCAGATGGCCACAACAGCCAGAGCTGGGCCGATCTGAAGCCAGGAGCCAGGAGCTTCTTCCAGGTCTCCCATCCAGGCGCAGGGGCCCAAGTACTTGGGCTATCTATCTTCTACTGCTTTTCCAGGTCATAGCAGAGAATTGGATCAGAAGTGGAGCAGCTGGGACTTGAACCAACACCCATATAGGATGCCGGCTCTGTAGGCAGCGACTTTACCTGCTATGCCACAGCTCTGGCCACTGGGTCTATTTCTTAAACTATAAGATCAGAGAGGAAGAAGTTGAAAAGAAAGCATTTAAAGAATTGAACACTCTATGACCTTGTCTAAGTAAGATCAGAGTTGGCGAACTCAAAAGGCCTCCATAGCCTTGGCAACTCATGACAAGAGCCTAGGGTGATTACTGACGCCATAAACAAGAGTGTCAATTTGTTAAGTCAACAACAGGAGTCACTGTGCACTTACTCCTCATGGAGGATCTCTGTACTTAATGTGTTGTACATTGTGATTTAATGCTATAACTAGTATTCAAACAGTACTTTACACTTTGTGTTTCTGTGTGGATACAAACTGTTGAAATCTTTACTTAATATATGCTAAATTGATCTTCTGTATATAAAGATAATTGAAAATGAATCTTGACGTGAATGGAAGTGGAGAGGGAGCAGGAGAGGGGAGGGTTGCAGGTGGGAGGGAAGTTATGGGGGGGGAAAGCCATTGTAATCCATAAGCTGTACTTTGGAAATTTATATTCATTAAATAAAAGTTAAAAAAAAAAAGAATTGAACACTGTAAATGCCTTTGTCAGCCATTCAGATGGAATCATAGCATTCTGAACTAGGCACAAGACTCTCAGGGCAAAAACAGAACTAGAGGATGGTTGGAGCTCTTAAAGGAAAAATATTGGAGGCCTTTTTCATCTATGAATGATAATAATTTCTACTCACACCGCTGAAGAGCCAGGTACAAAAGCCACATCAACGTTCGGGAGTGCAGTGGAGGATGTGGCCCACGGGCCTGAGCCCCTGCACCCACAGGAGACCTGGAGGAAGCTCCCGGCTCCTGGCTTCAGCCTGGGTCAGGCCCAGCAGCTGTGGTCATTTGGGGAGTGAACCAGTGGATGAAAGATGTCTCTCTCTCAGTAACTCTGCTTTTCAAATAAAGGAAATAAATCTTTTTAAAAATAAAAGTTAACTATTCTAGTTAAGGTAAAAGTGAGTTACTAAGACTCTGAAAATAGAATAAGAAATAAACATGAATTAAAACAAGGATGAGCCGGCGCCATGGCTCAATAGGTTAATCCTCCACCTTGCGGCGCCGGCACACCGGGTTCTAGACCCGGTTGGGGCGCCAGATTCTGTCCCGGTTGCCCCTCTTCCAGGCCAGCTCTCTGCTATGGCCAGGGAGTGCAGTGGAGGATGGCCCAGGTGCTTGGGCCCTGCACCCCATGGGAGACCAGGAAAAGCACCTGGCTCCTGGCTCCTGCCATCGGATCAGCGCGGTGCGCCGGCTGCAGCGGCGGCCATTGGAGGGTGAACCAACGGCAAAAGGAAGACCTTTCTCTCTCTGTCTCTCTCTCTCACTGTCCACTCTGCCTGTCAAAAAAAAAAAAAAAAAAAAAAAAAAAAAAAGGATGTAAAAAGTTCCCTTAAAGGGAGAGGATGATTCTCAGACCAGAATAAAACTTCTCTTATTCTGAAGATATTAATGTAAAGATACAAGAAACATAAGATAAAAGACATTCTAGAGGCTGAGGCTGTGGCTCAGTTGGTTAATCCTCTGCCTGTGGCACTGGCATCCCATATGGGCACCAGTTCTAGTCCCAGCTGCTCCTCTCCCAAGCCAGCTCTTTGCTATCGCCTGGGAAAGCAGTAGAAGATGGCCCAAGTTCCTGGGCCCCTGCACCCATGTGAGAGACCTGGAAGAGGCTCCTGGCTCCTGGCTTCAGATCAATGCAGCGCCAGCCGTTGTGGCCATTTGGGGAGTGAACCAGCAGATGGAAGACCTTTCTCTCTGTCTCTCCCTCTCACTGTCTGTAGCTCTCTCTCTCAAATAAATAAATAAAATCTAAAAAAAAAAAAAAAAAAAAAAAAAAGACATTCTAATGTGAAGATGGAATATTACCACTACAGGTATTAATTAAAACATAGTAACATTAAACATAGTAACGTGTTTAAAGAATGGGTCACTTAGTAAGGGAGCTGCCAGCAATGGAAGCAGTGACGTAAGCAAGCTGGAAGAAGACAACCTGAGCACTGTCCCGGAAGGAGGAGACCTGGCCTACACACTTGGAGCATTACTGTTCCCCAGACATGGTCATCCCCGTCACAGAGATGGAGACTTCTGGTTCTTTTAGTCTGACAGCATTAAACAATACAACTACACAACTTCCTCTTTGTGTCCCAACTCCATGTTCATTCAGCACCTTCCAATCACACTCTTGCAAGGCAGCTGATGCTGAAGATAGTATGCTGCTACAGGGCCTTCTGGGAATTAAGATATGAACACTGGCTCTACACATTGTCTCCATCAGCTTGGTTAATAAATGGCCACTGGAGGAGGGAAGTATGGTTGTCTTCTTGGAACTCTATCTATGGAATGCAGGAAATCTGTTATTAATAAAAAAAAAATTTAAAAGTCCTCTCCCAGTTCTTTCCAGCTGCTGACCATTGTCTCCATAAGCTTTCTGAACTCCCTCGACTGGGGTGGACCTTCCAAGGTCACAGCACCCCGTGAGGCATCTTGGCGGTTAGCCTCTTCTCTGGAAATCCCAATCTTTTTTTTTTTTTTTTGTAAAGATTTATTATTTATTTGAAAGTCAGAGTTACACAGAGAGAGGAGAGGCAGAGAGAGAGAGAGAGAGAGAGAAAGAGAGAGGTCTTCCATCCGCTGGTTCACTCCCCAGTTGGCCACAACAGCCAGAGCTGGGCTGATCCATAGCCAGGAGCTTCTTCTGGGCCTCCCATGCTGGTGCAGGGGCCCAAGAACTTGGGCCATCTTCTACTGCTTTCCCAGGCCATAGCAGAGAGCTGGATTGGAAGCAGAGCAGCTGGGACTCGAACCAGCGCCCATATGGGATGGTGGCGCTTCAGGCCAGGGCATTAGCCCGCTGTGCCACAGCGCCGGCCCCTGGAAATCCCAATCTTGCCATGGGATCATTCTCAAAGCATCAACTATAAGTATCCACAAGTATCATGTCCTGCACCACTTCTCCAACATGAGCATGGTGTGACTCCCAAACTCACACAGATACTTAAAACCCAAAGTCATAAGTTAAAGGTTACTAAGAGGGTGGAAACTTAATCCAACTACAGTATTTAGGAAGTAAGCCTAGTGGAAGGGCCTTGGGTCACCGGAGGTGTGTCCCCCAAAAGTAGTTCTCATGAGAGGAATGAGTAGAAAGGTCAGCTTATTTCTCTTGCTAAAGCACCACTATCGACAGACACCAAACCAATGGGGCCACCCAGTTTTGAACTTGAACTTCCAAAACTGTGAGCTAGGCAATCCTCTCTCTCCTCCCTAAGTAGCTTGTCTCTGGCATTTTGCTGTAGTAATAAAAAGCTGACTCACCCAGCCACATATCTGACCCCTGCATCGCCTGGTCTAAGAGGCATGACTAAACCATACCTTCTTCTCTTTCTCTAAAATCATTTGATCCTTCTGATGCAACATCTTCTTCAGAGTAGCCACTTCTTCCTTCAGTTGGGCAATGATGACAAAGTGGTCTGTGCCTGGAGAGTCCAAAGCCAGGTCTGGAGAAAAGCTGAATAGAAAAATGGATGGGGGAAAAAAATCGTAACTCGGAGAGATAAACTTTCCTCTACCTATGGCACATCCTAGGCCGTCCCTACTCCTCAAGGGCAGGATTAACTGGCTGAATTCCCAGCACCAAGAGCACACTGCTCTACACACGCCAGGCCCCACAGCATTGCCAAAGGCCCAGGTGAGGTGCTCATAACCACACCAACCAAAACCACAACCAGCAACTTTCCCACAGCCTCTTCCCTCACATTCAGCACTTAAGAGAACGCCACATCCCAAGGGCCAAGGGCACAGTGTCAGGGTCATGAAAGATTCGCAATGATTAACTGGTGAAGAAGACCTAATGTTTGACTAAGTATTTCCTTAGAATTCAGGATAGATTCTAAATTACAAGCTGATTCACTTGTCCACACTGCTCCCCCACAGCTCACCTTCCACTCTCTGTCTTCTGCCCCAGAGCACTGCACCGTGTGTGGCTGTGGAGAAGCTGCCACATTCTGTTCCAGGAGCAGTCAGTCCTTTCCGAGAAAGTTGGAGGTCATGGGAAGGAAGTCAGCTTCCCCTACGTTATAATTGGCCTGCTGGCTGTCGTTTCCAATACCAAGAATTCTTTGACAGTTAGGAAAGGAACATGGAGGTGGCAGACTCCACAGTCACATTGCAATCTGGGTTTTCAGCCGGTTTTCCTCCCAGTAACAGCACCAGAAGGCCCCACTCTATTGAAGTGGCCTCTGCCCTTTCACAGCCTCTTTTTTTTTTTTTTTTTTTTTGACAGGCAGAGTGGACAGTGAAAGAGAGAGACAGAGAGAAAGGTCTTCCTTTCGCCATTGGTTTACCCTCCAATGGCCGCCACAGCCGGCGCACCGCACTGATCCGAAGGCAGGAGCCAGGTGCTTCTCCTGGTCTCCCATGGGGTACAGGGCCCAAGCACTTGGGCCATCCTCCACTGCACTCCCGGGCCACAGCAGAGAGCTGGCCTGGAACAGGGGCAACCAGGACAGAATCCAGTGCCCCGACCGGGACTAGAACCCGGTGTGCCGGCACCGCAAAGCGGAGGATTAGCCCAGTGAGCCACGGCGCCGGCTCCACAGCCTCTTAACCAGGACCAGTCTCAGGGAATCCAGGAAGCCCTGGTATTGTATTTACAATCCTGTCCACACACACCACGGGCAGTTTTCAGGATGAGAATCCCTAGCTTTTTTAACAGCTGGTCACGGGTGCCCCAGCCTGCCCCCCACCCATGAAAAGGATCACTGCCAAGAAGGCCAAATCACGCCCGTCTCTACAGAACTCTCAAAGGAAGCTCCTGACTTTCCCAGAACAATCTTCAAAGTAAAACACAAACCTCGCTGTTTTTCCTCAGCAGACACTGGAACAGTGGTTCCCAGCTCCCTCCACCAATGCAGCAACAACTCAGTTCCCCTTGTGTTAGGTTCTTTCCTGTGTTGTAAACCACATCTAATAACCAGCATTTCCCACGAAGGAAGAAACTCCAAATAGCAAGTCTAACCACTAGACACACTTCCTCACAGTTGCCAAGTCAAGTGCTGTGTCACAACTGGAAGACATCACCCGTGGGTAGAATGGTCCTGCCTCACCCCAGTCTACATGAGATGAATGTCAAAGGAAGAATCAATCAGTGCTTTCACTACTGATGAATGAGCAGAGCTACTGGGCAACAAAAAGTAAACGCAGAGTCATACAACACGGCACGCGGGAGACGCCAAAGGCACTGCCGCAGTCTCCACCAGTTTAGATCTGGAAGCTCCCGTCTATCTGCAGTCTTTCATCTGTGTCAAAACCCACCACAGGCCTGTTTTCCCTCACCTAATGTAGTCTATTTAAACCCAGAACTAAAACTTAAACGAAAAACCCCAGAACTAAGCTTACAAGTGGCTTTCTGCTGTCCCGAATGTCCCCAGCACTCTGCTCCGCCTGCCTCTCAAGAGGATTCAGTCCACACCAATGCACTGCTAACTAACCCATCCTGCCTGGCTGGGGCTAGGGTCTCCCCTCTCGAGCTCTAGTTCCTGATTCAGCAGGAACTGCTGGAAATGAAAAAAGGTGGCTCCATTGGTGAGACAGAAAAGCCAGTCTCTCACCAAATACTTCCAATCACAGGGAACGCACCACCACTTCAGGCAACTTCCTGCCTGTTCTCTCTCTCTCTCTCTTTTTTTTTTTTTTGACAGGCAGAGTGGATAGTGAGAGAGAGACAGAGAGAAAGGTCTTCCTTTGCCGTTGGTTCACCCTCCATGGCCGCCGCGGCCGGCGCGCTGCAGCCGGCGCACCGCACTGATCCGATGGCAGGAGCCAGGTACTTATCCTGGTCTCCCATGGGGTGCAGGGCCCAAGGACTTGGGCCATCCTCCACTGTACTCCCTGGCCACAGCAGAGAGCTGGCCTGGAAGAGGGGCAACAGGGACAGAATCCGGCGCCCCGACCGGGACTAGAATCCTGTGTGCCGGCGCCGCAAGGCAGAGGATTAGCCTAGTGAGCCGCGGCGCCAGCCAACTTCCTGCCTTTTCTAAAACCTCTGAATGTTAAGACAGACTTTCTTGGGTTGAACCAAAAACTGTGCCTCCCTATAACACACTGGTTCAGAGTAATTTTTTAAGGCACATTTCAGAAGGAGAATAAGGAAAAGGCAGTCCTTTTCAAACAATAACCCACAAGGTGTGCCTGCTGAGACACCCACCTTTAAGATGGCTTTTTTATTGCCCACAGAACAACAGACAAACATGACTAAAGAATCAGTGCTACATTTTTCTAGGAAAAGAAAACTGGAAATTCACTCAGATTTTCCTCGAATTAAGAACTGTTTGCTACAATTTCAATAAAAAAATTAGAAAATATTGAGAGGAAGGCTTGTAAGTAGGAAACCATTAGAGAAAGCCAAGATAACACATTCTGCAAGATACAGAAGAATGGCACCAGCACTGTGGTGTAGCAGGTAAAGCCACTGCCTGTAGCACCAGTATCCCACATGGGCACCATTTTAAGTCCTGGCTGCTCCACTTCCAAGCCAGCTCCTTGCTGATACATCTGAGAAAGCAGCAGAGAATGGCCCAAGTCCTTGGGTCCCTGCACCCATGTGGGTGACCGAGATGAAGCTCCTGGCTCCTGGCTTCGGCTTGGCACAGCCCTGGCCATTGTGGCCATTTGGGGAGTGAACCAGTGGATGGAGGACCTCTCTCCCTCCCTGCTACCCTCTGCCTCTCCTTCCCTGTAGCTCTTTCAAATAAATAAATGCTTTTTTTTTTTTAATAAAAAGATACAGAAGTCTAATAGATAAAGAATAAGAGGTGGGAAAAACAGGAATATATATATATATATATATTTTTTTTAAAGATTCACTGATTTGTTTGAAACTTAGAATTACAGAGAAAGAGGGAGAGACAGAAAGAGAAATCTTTCATCTGCTACTTCATACCCCAAATGACTGCAATGGCCAGCTAGGCCAGGCCAAATCCAGGAGCCATGAACTTCATCCAAGTTTTCCACGTGGGTGGCAGGAGCGCATTTAGGTCATCTTCCTCTGCTTCCCCATGTCATTAGTAGGAACTGGATCAGAAATGGAGTAACCAGGCCAAGAACCGGCACCCACACAGGACGGTGGAGGTTTTACCCACTATCACAATGCTGGCCCCTCAAACATGCCTTAATATTAAACAAGTAAGAGAGGAATGTGGTGCAGAAAGCACAAGGCAACTGTTAGGGAGCAACTACAGAGGACACAGCAAGCAAAAAGTAAAGAATAAGGATGTACATTTTTTAAAAGGTTTTTATTTATTTATTTGAGAGGTAGAGTTACAGACAGTGAGAGGGAGAGACAGAGAAAGGTCTTCCTTCCGTTGGTTCACTCCCCAAATGGCCGCAATGGCCAGAACCACACCGATCGAAGCCAGGGGCCAGGAGCTTCTTCCAGGTCTCCCACGTGGGTGCAGGGGCCCAAGGACTCGGGCCATCTTCTGCTTTCCCAGGCCATAGCAGAGAGCTGGGTCAGAAGAGGAACAGCCGGGACTAGAACCAGTGGCCATATGAGATGCCGGTGCTTCAGGCCAGGGCTTTAACCCGCTGCGCCACACTGCCGGCCCCCTGGCTGCTCCACTTTCAATCCACGCACCTGCTAATGTGTCTGGGAAGAGCAGCAGAGGATAGCCCAAGTGCCTGGGCCCCTACTGCCCATGTGGGAGTCCTGGATGAGGCTCCTGGTTTCAGTCTGGCCTTGCCCCTGCCCATTGCTGCCATTTAGGGAGTTAGGGAGTGAACCAGCGGATGGAAGATCTCTCTCTCTCTCTCTTTGTATCTCTCCTTCTCTCTCTGTAACTCTGACTTTCAAATAAATAAATTTTAAAATCTGTGAGGAAGCTCTAGCAATAGAGCTTTAGAAAGAATACTGATTATACTTGGTATAGAAATGATTGTGAAATACTTATGTAATAAAAAAGATTTGGGTTTACATAACATTAAAAAAAGATTGTGAAAAACAACAGAAAAAGTCAGAATTTTTTTCAAAGTGAACTGAAAGAAGGAAAATGTAAAAAAGATAGCAAAATGTTAACCATCTTGTGCTATGAATTTCTTTTTAAAGATTTTTTTTTATTATTTGAAAGGTAGAGTTACAGAAAGAAGGAGACACAGAGAGAGCTTTTCCATCTGCTGGTTCACTCCCCAAATGGCCATAATAGCCAGGGCTGTGCAAGGCTGAAGCCAGGAGCCAAGAGCTTCTTCTGGGTCTCCCACGTGGGTCCAGGGATTTCAGCCATCCTTTGCTGCTTTTCCAGGCACATTAGCAGGGAGCTGGATCAGAAGTGGAGCAGCTGGGACTCAAACCAGTGCCCATATGGGACGCTGGCATGGCAGGCCACAGCTTAACTCACTGTGACATGCACCAACTCCAGCTATTAATTTTTTTTTAAATGCAAACAAGAATAGAATGTTAAGATTAGCAATGCAGACCATTCAAATGGAACTTGTAAATATATGCAAATAATTTTTGTGGTGGCAGAAAATTTTTCTCAATTTTCAAATTATAAGAGTAAATTAGGCCGGCGCCGCAGCTCAATAGGCTAATCCTCCACCTAGCGGTGCCGGCACACTGGGTTCTAGTCCCGGTTGGGGCGCCGGATTTGTCCCGGTGGCCCCTCTTCCAGGCCAGCTCTCTGCTGTGGCCAGGGAGTGCAGTGGAGGATGGCCCAAGTCCTTGGGCCCTGCACCCCATGGGAGACCAGGAGAAGCACCTAGCTCCTGCCTTCGGATCAGCGCAGTGCGCCGGCCGCAGCGCACCAGCCATGGCGGCCATGGAGGGTGAACCAATGGCAAAAGGAAGACCTTTCTCTCTGTCTCTCTCTCTCTCACTATCCACTCTGCCTGTCAAAAAATAAAAATAAATAAATAAATAAGAGTAAATTAGGGGCCAGCGCTGTGGCATAGTGGGTGCTGGTTCAAGTCATATGGGCACCGGTTTGAGTCCTGGCTGCTCCATTTCCAATCTAGCTCTCTGATATGGCCTGGGAAAGCAATGGAGGTTGTCCCAAGTCCTTGGGGCCTGCACCCACGTGGGAGACCCAGAAGAAGCTCCTGGCTACTGGCTTTGGATCGGTGCAGCTCCTGCTGTTGTGGCTGTCTGGGGAATGAACCAGCAGATGGAAGACACCTCTCTCTCTGCCTCTGCCTCTTGGTAACTCTGCCATTCAAGTGAATTAATAAATCTTTATATCTATAAAAAAAAGAGTAAATTACTTGGGGCCAGTGCTGTGGCATAGCAGTTAAAGACCTTTCTCTGTTTCTCCTTCTGTATGTAATTCAGACAGTGTGTGAAGCTACTACCTGCAATACTGGAATCCCATATGGGTGCTGGTTCACATTCAGGGTGCTCCACTTCTGATCCAGCTCCCTGCTAATGGCCTGGGAAAAGTAGTGGAGGAGGCCCAAGTGCTTGGGCCCCTGCATCCATATGGGAGACCCAGATGAAGCTCCTGGCTCCTGGTTTTAGCCTGGCTCAGGCTTGACCACTGCTGCCATAAGAATGAATCAGTGGATGGAAGATTCTGTCTCTCCCTCTCTCTAACTCTTTCAAACAAATACATAAAAATCTTTTTTTAAAAAAACTAAAACTAAAAAATTAAAACTAATTAATCAATTAACTAAAGGCATAGGACTTACTTTACAAGGCATTCAAAAAGTTCATAATGTGACATAGTTTTTACAGGGTCACACACCTGGCAAAGAACATGGATAATCTGTACCACACCTACTTTCTTCACAATGGCCACACTTAGCTGCTCAGGTAAGAGCAAAGCTGACCAGAAAGATGATCTTTATTAAGGTTCCTTCCCTCATGTAATCTGTATATCTAAATTAAGCATTTCCAGAAGATTAAATTCTAGAGATTTATAATCAATGAAACTAACTGTTAGAAGACACTTGCAGTGTCTGAAATCAAGTTAATGAAAAATGTAATGGGAAAGAATAAATTTCCCAGGTGTTTTATATTCCCCTGAATAAAGAAAACTCAGACCTGGAAAGTCTTTATGCTGGTCTGTTCCTATATCTACCACTGGCTGGGAGGGAGGATTATGAATGGGAGGAGTTTTCAGAATGGAGATGATTCCAAGGATTTTAGAGAAGAGTGTGTCAGGTGTGTCTCACTTTAGGATGTCCAGGCCTAGAGGAAGAAGATAGGGGTTGGCCCCAGGACTACTGGAAAGCAGCCCACTGCACCAACACAGATGGGGCACTCTGGATATTAGGACAAAGTGGCTCGTAAGAGAAAGCTTTACTGAGAAGGAGAGGAAAGCAACAAATAAAAATCTGCATTTGAAAGACTTAAAATGAAACAAAAATATTAAATGCATCTCATCCTCTCCTGAGCCAGAATCTGTACTGGCTGGCTTCCCGAATGCTCAGGAAGCGTGCACTGCCCTTCACAGAGTGAGCCACAGTGGTCTCTGCCCCGCCTAGCAGAGGCAGATGCAGGCACAGATCACAGTGAGAAGCAGCCAAAGCCTGACTTCCTAGAATTAGTGTGGGAGAGTCATTAAGTGGGGTGCAGAATTCAACTGCACTGAAGTCCAGTTACAAGTTCTTATTGTTTAGTGACAGATGAAATTTTTAAACAAATATCAGTAGTGCTTTCTAGACTATCAAGTGGCTAGTGTAGCACCCCTAAAAGGTTCACTGACAGCCACAGACTAGCTCTAAGACATACCCTAAAATGTATTTGTTTCAAGAAACTGTGTATGCATTTCAAATGCGTGCGCACACATATTCCAACTGGCTCACCTGTCTCCATTAGTTGTGATTGACTCAAACTTGGATTTTTTCTTTGGGATTTCATTTTGAATTGAAGATGTAGAAAGTGTTTTCTGGCTTTTAATGGCAAAAATAGAGAGACACACATTAGAAAACAAAGATTAATAACACATCACAATGAAAGTCTGTCAAATGGACAAATGTAAGAGAGTAGCTCTTCCATGCCAGAGCTAATTATTAACATCTACCAAGGTGTTGATTTTGCAGGTCCTGGAAACATGGGTAGCTAGTTTCCCTAGGATCAAAAACATTCTTGGCCTTAATATTACCTGCTTCATTAATAATTGCAAGAACAGAATCAATAAAACCTCAATTAAAAGTAGAATCTTGCAGTTTAAAAAGTACTTTGACATGGGCTCATATACATGTTATAATTCTGTGAGGTACATAGATAAGTTACTATTTCTGCTTTGTAGAAACTGAGCTTATCAAGGTTTAGTAGCTGACATCCTCCAAGATACACAGCTGGTTAGTAGTGAAGCCGGGACTAGAAACCAGGTCAACATATTTGAACTTTTCGTCCAGTTCTTTACCATATCCCTGTGACTCAACTTGTATTTTTTTTTTTTTTAAGACAGAGTTACAGAAAGAGGTAGACAGAGAGAGAGAGAAAGAGAGAGAAAGAGGTGCCTTCCATCCTCTGATTTACCCCCCAAACAATCGCAATGGCCAGAGCTGAGCTGATTCGAAGCCAGGAGCCAGAAGCCAGGAGCTTCCCCCAGGTCTCCCATGTGGGTGCAGGGACCCAAGGACCTGCGCCATCCTCCACTGCTTTCTCAGGTGCATTAGCAGGGAGCTGGATCGGAAGTGGAGCAGCTGGGACTTAAAGAGCGCCCATACTGGATGTGGGTGTTGTAGGCCAGGGCTTTAACCTGCTGTGCCACAGCACTTGCCCCAATATCTGAGTGTTACAACAACACTAAAAATCAGTTTCAGGGTCCGGCATTGTGATGCAGCTGGTAAAGTCACCACTTGCGATGCCGGCATCCCATATGGATGCAAGTTTGAGTCCAGGTTGCTGCATGTCCTGTTCAGCTCCCTGCTAACGGCCTGGGAAAAGTAGCGGAAGATGGTCCAACTGTTTGGGCCTCTGCTACTCAGGTGGGAAACCCAGATGAAGCTCCTGGCTCCTGTCTTTGACCCAGCCCAGCTTTGGCCACTGCAGCCATCTGGGGAGTGAGCCAGCAGATGAAAGATCTTTCTCGATCTCTCCCTCTCTCTCTAACTCTTTCAAATAAATAAATCTTTAAAAAAAAAAAGTTTCACCCAAAACTCGTCCTGAAACCAAACTGGAAGCCTGAATCTGGTGTGCGACTCCTTCACTATGATGCTTGTCCAATGGCCAAGAGCTTCACAGCGCTCTTGCCTGACCTCTCTTCAGTATTCAACACCACTGCTGTTCTACCTTTCTCAAAACCCTTCTCCTCACTTGGCCATTCCTCCTGCTTTCATGGTGGCTGCTTCCTAGTTCTCTGTCCATTTCTTAAACACTGAATGCTTCTAGAGTTTTGTTCTCAGCCTCTTACCTGAGTTCTATCATCCAAGAGCATGGTTTTAACAATTCCCCATAATAGTGGTTGGAAACAGTATTCTCAGATCACCTGCAGTGGAATTACCTGGCATGTTTATAAACAACGTAGACCCCTGGATTCTATCCCAGATTCTACTGAACTACTCTGTGGAAGATCCACAGGGGTCTGTATTTGAAAATAATTTCTATTCCCAGTGACTTTTTTTTTTTTTTTTTTTTTTTGACAGGCAGAGTTAGACAGTGAGAGAGAGAAAGACAGAGAGAAAGGTCTTCCTTTTCCGTTGGTTCACCCTGGAAGTGGCTGTTATAGCCGGCGCACTGCGCTGATCCAAAGCCAGGAGCCAGGCGCCTCCTCTTGGTCTCCCATGCGGGTAAAGGGCCCAAGGACCTGGGCCATTCTCCACTGCACTCCCGGGCCACAGCAGAGAGCTGGACTGGAAGAGGAACAACTGGGACAGAATCCAGCGCCCCAAATGGGACTAGAAGCCAGAGTGCCGGCGCTGCAGGTGGAGGATTAGCCAAGCCTCCCAATGACTCTTACACGTTACCAATGGCCCATATTCAAACCTCCCTTATATAGGCTAAGCACCTATAAATAATTCTTGGTGCTTCAAACAGCCTTTTGAAACTGAACTTCTCTTTCTGAATTCTCAGTTAAGGATCTACCTGTTCACAAAAATAAAAATCCTGGGAATTATCCATCACTCATTCAGTAGCTACTCATGTATCTGTTCACCAAATTATCTGTTTCTCATAGTTCTCTCTCCAAACTATCTTCCTAAACCTGCCTCTTCCATCTTCACCTCCATTGCTTCAGGTGAAGGTCTCGCGTTAACACCTCCTACCTCAATTCTTACCAAACAGCTTACTAATTAGCCCCCAATGCATTCTCCACACTAGTCAGGGTTCATTTATTTTTTTTTAACTTTTATTTAATGAATATAAATTTCCAAAGTACAGAATATGGATTACAATGGCTTCCCCCCCATAATGTCCCTCCAACCCGCAGGGTTCATTTATTTAAAACCACACAGACTTGGTTCCTTCCTCCCCACCCCCAGTGTAGAAGCCCTTCAGTGCTCCTCACTAAATGCAGGATCAAGTTCACGTTTCTCATCAGGTCTGCAGGGACCCCTTTCTTCCCATTCCCCAGTTCCCAACCGTAAGCTCCAAAAGCATAAAAAGGCAGAATTCTGCAGGGCTCCATGTGATCTCCTGCTCTCCAGGCCTTTGTAAATGCCATTCCTGCAGCCTAGGATGCTTTCTGCCCAGCCCCTATCTGTTGATTTCAACTCAGCCTAAGATCCAGCTCCAAACCAGCTCTTCTCCAAGTGTGCTTTACCTGATTCCCAAGGCAGTTAATTACTCCTGCCTCTCACGCCTCTATCTTGACAAGTTTCCACTGTGCGCCTCTCATATTATACTGCAAAGATTTGATTACAGGTCTGTCTTTCCGACCAGACTGCACACTCTAGGGGAACAGCAGGGCTGTGTTATTCCTCTCTGCATTCCCAGTAGAGTCCCTGGCCTGTGAGAGGCCTTAATGTCTGCTCAATGAACACTCTTAATGGTAACAACAAAAAATAACTAAAGTTGATTGCATACACCCTATATGCTAGCTATAAAACTAATCACCAGGTACTATGTAATTTATCTTCATAACAACCTCATGAAGTAATACTATTATTTCCCTCATGTTACAGATAACAAAACTTGCCCCAGATCCCCATAGAGAAGTTGGTAGAGTCAGGATTCAATCCAGAGCCAGAACTCTTAGCAATATTACAGATACTCTCAAAGGAAGATGAAGAAAACAATGAGAAGACATCTTAACTGGATCTCAGCAGGGCAAACCGAGAACATCTATCAAACTGCTAGCATTTAAAAAACTGTATGCTATGGCAGACATTTGGTACAGCAGCTAAGACAGTGCTTAGGATGTGTGCGTCCTCTATTAGAGGGCCTGGTTTCAGTCCCAGCACTTTTGATCTAGCTTCCTGCTAACGTACATCCTGGAAGGCAGCAGATGATGGCTCAATTAGTTGGGTCCTAGCCACCCATGTGGGAAATGAACCAATACAGGGAAGTGCTCTCTCGCTCTCTCTCTCTGCCGTTCAAATAAAAGGAAAATAAATTTTAAAACAAAAATTTTTAAAAATAGAAAAGTGCATTCCTCAGCTAATGAAATGTTCAGTCTCCTAAGGAGAAAAGCCACTGTAAACGTAAGACACTACATGTGAAGACAGAGTTAAGTTCTATAAAACTCAGACACAATACAAAGTGAGGAAACCCTGACACCTTATGGAAACCTCTCTGGCTTTTGGAAGATATACGAATCATAAAGCATGACCAATGAGGTTCTTCCTACCAGCTAGTATTTCAAGAAAAAGTAAGAGAAAGCATACGAGCTGGTGAATTCCATGGCTGACTGCACGTGTCTCCCTGGACTCACCAGCACCTCTGGGCCTGTCTCAGGCATCTTGCGTACCTGTTGTAATGGCCACCACCACTCAAGCGGCTGTACTGCTCCTTCTCCTGGTGGCCAGACCGAGAAGAGCTGCTCAGGTGCTTCCTCTGCTCTTTGGTCTTCTGCAGGACCCGTTTGTAGGAAAGTGTACACAGCCAGCACAGCAATTTGCCATCTACCTGAAACACCAGGAGACCAAGATGAAGCTGAGGGAGTGTAGTGCAGTGGCTAAGAATGTGGGCAGGGGGAGAAGAACCTCCAGGCTGAGTCCCAGCTCTGCCTCTTAGAGCCGGGTGACCATGGGCACGTCACAGAGGGCTGCAGCAAGGATTTAGTGATATAATATAGGTAAAGCACTTAACAGTGCTGGGCATGTACAAGTTGCTTAAATATCAGCTGCTAATTGTATGTATCTTTTTGTTTTTCTGCAACACAGACCAGAGTAATGTGCCCATAAGAATTGGAAAAGACACAAGTATATCTCCACGGTGTTCATTAAAGAAAACAACAGGGAGAAGACCAATGAGATAATATAAAGTCTTTACTTCAGGTTTTTTTAAACTGACAAATAAAAGTATATGTATTTATCACGTACAACATGCGGTTTTGAAATATGTATAGTGTGAATGGCTAAATCAAGCTAATTAACATGCATATGGCCGGCGCCGCGGCTCAATAGGCTAATCTTCCACTTAGCGGCGCTGGCACACCGGGTTCTAGTCCCGGTCGGGGCGCCGGGTTCTTTCCCGGTTGCCCCTCTTCCAGGCCAGCTCTCTGCTGTGGCCAGGGAAGGCAGTGGAGGATGGCCCAAGTCCTTGGGCCCTGCACCCCATGGGAGACCAGGAGAAGCACCTGGCTCCTGGCTTCGGATCAGCGCGGTGCGCCGGCCACAGCACGCCAGCCATGACGGCCATTGGAAGGTGAACCAACGGCAAAGGAAGACCTTTCTTTCTGTCTCTCTCACTATCCACTCTGTCAAAAAAAAAACAACAAAAAAAACCATGCATATTACCTCACACCTTTTTTTTGTGGTAAGAACACTTGACATCTACTATCTTAGCAGTATTCAAGAATACAGTACACTGTTATGAACTATAGTCGCCATGCTGTATAAAAGATCTCTGGAACTTTCTCCTCTGGGCTAACTGAAACTTTGTATCTTCTAGGCAACACCTCCCCAAGCCACCTCCCCTCTACTTCAGTTTTTTTGTTGTTGTTCATTTTTATTTAGTTGAGAAGCAAAGAGAGAGAGAGAGAGAAAAACAAGTGCACCCTCACTAGCTCTTATCTACTATTTCATTCTGCAAATGCCCACAATGACCAGATAGGGGGAGGGGCCAAAGCCAGAGCCAGTAACTCAATCCAGGTCTCACATAGGTGGCAGGAACTCAATCACTGGAGCCATCATGGCTGTCTCCCAGGGTCTATGTTAGCAGGAAGCTGGAGTCAGGAGTCGGAGGCAGGCATCAAATCTAGGTACTCCAGATATGGGATGTGGGTACCTTACTGGCTGCTTAATCACTAGGCCAAACACTCACTTCCAGACTTCAGTTTAATACCTTAAAAATGGCTCACAAAATGGCTTACTGGATACCTTCTCTGATACGTAAAGAATATCCCCAGAAAAAGATCAATGGGTGAGCAGCTCCCAGGAGCCTTCCCTGGTGATGTCTCACTATGCAGCTATTTAGATCACGCAAGGCTGACTCCTTCGGGCAGCATGGCGGGAGGCCAGAAAGGCAGGCACTTTGAGCAACATTCAAACTGCAGGGGGCCAGCACTGTGGTGCAGTGGAGTAAGTCACTGCTCCCGACAACTGCATTTCATACTGGGGAGCCAATGCACATCCTCGCTACTTCACTTTCTGAAGTGAAGGGGCTTCCTGCTACTTCCAGCTTCCTGCTACTGTGCCTGGGAAGGCAGCAGAAGACCGCCCAAGGACCTGGAGCCCTGCTGCCCCATGGGGGACCTGGATGAGTTCTTGCTTCTTGACTTCAGCCTGGCCCAGATGGCTGTTTTGGTCATTTAGGGGAAAAAAAATCAGTGGATGGAAGATACCGCTCCCTCTGTCATTCTACCTTTCAAATAAACAAACAAACAACTCTTTCAAAAAAAACCTTCAGATTGCAAAGCAATTTGCGGGGCAGTCTACTACAGAAGGCAGGGCAGCAGGGCTGGTGGAATTACCCAGGATAGAGAGGGAAAGCGCTAGCATTTTATGGAACTTCATGGTTTTCAATTCTTACTCTTGAATCCATTCACTTTCTAAGTCACAGTTCTGTCCTAATCAAGTCCTTATCCCACTACTTTTAAGAACTACTTCCACATTAACTGCCAGAGAGCTTCCTTATATGTAAATCTGATCATATCATCTCCTCAAAATCCAACGTTTTCTCATCAAATCTAGTATTAAAATACAAACTTTTTTTTTGCCATCTCCCATGCAGACATAGCCCCTACCTGCATCCAGAACTTCCTTTCCTTTCTCTCCGCCTTGTTCACTCTACATTCTCTCTTGTGCAGTGCGTAGGGTCTTATCACAGCCCTTCCCTCTTCCTGGAAGCTTTGCCCTCCAGGGCTTCCCACAAGGCCTCCTTTCCCATTCTAGTTTCAACACAAATGTTATCTTCTCGGAGGTTCTGCTGATTGCCACATCATGGCTCTCCTCCCCACCACTCTCCACTGAGCATTCTATTTCTTCATAGCACTTATACCTACAATTTGTCTTCATTTTTTTATATTTTTTCTTTTTTTTTTTTTTAAATTTTAGGTCTTCCTCCTGTTGGTTCACCCCCCAAAATGGTCGTTACACCTGGCGCGCTGCGCCAATCTGAAGCCAGGAGCCAGGCGCCTCCTCCCGGTCTCCCATGCGGGTGCAGGGCCCAAGGACCTGGGCCATCCTCCACTGCCCTCCTGGGCCAGAGCAGAGAGCTGGCCTGGAAGAGGAGCAACCGGGACAGAATCTGGCGCCCCGACCGGGACTAGAACCCGGAGAGCTGGTGCCGCAGGCGGAGGATCAGCCCAGTGAGCTGCAGCGCTGGTCTTCATTTTTTTCTTGGACTTCTTCCATCTCTCTCTCGCTCTCTCTCACACAATATATGGATGTAAGATCTGTGAGGGGGCAGGCTTTGTGTCACAGCTGTTGTTTGGAACACCCACATCCCACACTGGAGTGCCTGGGATCAAGTCCTGCCTCTACTTCTAACTCAACTTCCTGCTAATACACCTGTAATGCTGATGACAGCCCAAGTTCTTTGCTTCCTGACACCCATGTGGAAGACCCAGATAGGGTTCCTGGCTCTTGAATTTGGCTTGACCCAGCCTCAGCTGTCGCAGGCACTTGGGGGAGTGAACCTCTTTCTCTGTCACTCTGCTTTTCAAATAAATAAATCTTACAAAAAAAAAAAAAAGTGAGAGAAGGATCTCATCTGTTTACTTCACTTATTTCCAGTATCTATAACAATGTCCAGTATCTGATTGACATTTAATTATTTCCTAATTGAATATATAAGCTGAACTTCAATCTGCTTCATCTCACGAATGTGGGATATGCCTGAAGGCCTGACTGTGAAACCCTCCTGAAGACCCTGCTCAGGAAAGAGCTCTCATAAAGTAGCTTACAACCAAAACAAAGCTGCACCACTGAAAAGAAAGCACGCACACAGGACCACAGGATATTTTACTCATATTTCAGGTCTCTGCTTTAAAAATAAACTACAAATAAACAATCATCCTCTGAGAATCTAACTCTCAAGGGGACAATGTTGTGGCACAGGGGGTTAAACTGCCGCTCGTGATGCTGATGGCCCAGTTCCCTGCTAGTGCTCCTGGGAAGGCAACAGAAGACGGCTCAAGTCTTTGGGCCTCTGCCACCCACAAGGGAGATCCGGATGAAGTTCTGGGCTTTGCCCTGGCCCAGCCCTGGCTGTTGTGGCTATTTGAGGAGTGAACCAGCATATAGAAGCTCTCTCTCTCAGTCTCTTCCTCTTTTGTTGTTGGTCTTTTGGATAAATAAATAAATGTTTTTTTTTTTTTTTAAAAGAACTTAACTATCAAAAACAAATAATGATAGATAATGCTGACTGCATACCTTTATGTACCAGGTTCCATTCTAAAGGTTTTACACTTAACAACTCAGTCTTTGGAACAATGCTGAGGTCTGATCATTTCCATTCATAGATGAGGAAAGTGAAGCACTGAGAAGTTAACTTGTCCAAAGTCACACAGCTCTTAAGTGACAGACACAGGATTCCAACTCACACACTGAGTCTAGATCACTCACTCTTACATCCCTAAGCTTAGCCTTCCTCTCCTAAAGTCTATGAGCATGTGATTAAAGATGTGTAAAAACACCCAAACCCTAAATAGAATAATTAATGAAGCAGAAACTTAAGGAATTGCAGTATAACCAGACTAATAAAATTAGCTATTCAGTTAGTAATAATATAGGAACCATTTATGGAGTCACAGGATGTGCCAGGTTCAGAATTTTTTTATGGGTCTAGATCTTTTTCAAGAAAATATCTTCCTGGGGCTGGCATTGTGGCACAACAGGGAAAGCCACTGCCTGCAGTACCAGCATCTCATATGGACGTTGGTTCAAGTCCTGGCTGCTCCACTTCCCATTCAGCTCTCTGCTATGGCCTGGGAAAGCAGTAAAAGATGGCCCAAGTGAGAGACCCGGAAGAAGCTCCTGGCTCTTGGCTTGGGATCAGCGCAGCTCCAGCCATTGTGGCCAACTGGGGAGTGAACCCATGGATGGAAGACCCCTCTCTCTCTTTGTGTAACTCTAACTTTCAAATAAATAAATAAATCTTAAAAAAATAAATAAATCTCTTCCTACTCCTGTGAGGTAGCTACTGTTAGTATTATTGGGAAATTTGAAGAAACTGATGCATGAGAGCAAAAGTAACTTGCCTAGATCACTTCACCAGCCCCAGGCGTGGAACAGGACCTGGAGGCTGCTAACTCCTGATTACTAATGCAGCTTCTCCATTATCTTGGTCAGGGAAGAAGTGTCCTACTTGGCAGGCAGGAGTATTCTGGGCACTGGGAAGTTATATCCTTCCACTGTACACGAATGAATTTGGTTATCAAGAGTTACCCCTTAAGTGCTTAAGCACCCCTGAAAGCATCTCTGAACATTGAAAAGTTTCTGAACTAAATCTCAGTCAACAAATATTTATTGAGCAACTTGTATGTGCTAGACTGTCGAAAATATACAGCAGAGAACAAAATGGACAAAGACCTCATGTTCCAGTGTGGATGGACAAACGTGAGCAAATAAACACGATAACCTTTCAACACTATGCCATGAAGGCAGTAAAACTGGGTGACACAGCAAAGAGGGACTGAGTCAAGGTCTCTGTGATGAGGGGGCATCTGACTGAGACCTGACATGAAGAACCAGTAACGACACTGGAGAAGGCGCACCAGACAAAAGGACAGCTAGCACAAAGGTGGCTAAGAGACTGGCATGGCTGAAGGACCAACAGGTTGCCAGCATGGATATAACAAGGTGAGGAGGAAGAAGAGTGACAGACGATGAGGCTGAGAGCCAGGTGTGGGTCCTGAAGGCATGGAAGGGCATGCATTTTATGTCAAGTGCATCTGGAAACCAAGGCGGGATGGTATCGAGCAGGAGGGTCGTGTGACCAAACTCCATGCCACTTTAGTTCACCAGAGTACCACCATGCAGCCTCTTTCTGTTGTCATCTTGTGATCCTTAACTTCAACAGGAACATTTAAAGACCCACAGGGTAAAACTAGTCATACCACTCTATCTTAGGTCACAATCTCTTCTTTACAGAGTTCTACAGAATCTTGTCAAGACCTGCTTTGCCTATGTGGGATATTGATCTCTGTAATTCAGCTTTTCATCAAATGTTGGAATATAATATAAATGTTAGAAAATATTCAGGAAAAAATTATTTGAATATCTTCTGCAATAACAGAACCAGCAAAGGAACTGAGAACTCTGTTACATTTTTCTTAACATAATTGGTCCATTTGAATTTCTCTGAAAGAAAAAAAATTCAAGAGAAACATGGGTATTTACCTTCTTTCTATCATCTTTCCTGTCAAACGCACACTGCTGCTTGCACTGTTCACAAGAATATGGCGGTCCATACTTCTTCTCTGAATTTGTACAGCGCTGGCATTTATTGCCAATAAATGCTGCAATTATGTTACAATACTGACACGGTTTGGGCTTAAAGAAGGAAAAAAAGGGTCAAGTAAGTATATCATAAAATACTAGCTCATTTTTTAAAGCAACAATTCCCACTGTGTAACCCAGTAATCATGGCAAAAATGTATTCCCAACTTCATAAATTTGTTTTTGTATTGATCAAGTGAAGCCCAATTCTTAACGCTACATAAAGCAGTTTTCTACATAGGACTGTTGATTTTAAATAAATAAATGAAAAAATAACAAAAACCTACTAGGATGTATGCTGAGACTTTATGAAAAATTCATAAAATAAATCAGCAAGTACTTCTAAGTTTCTGAGAAGACTTCTTTGCCATTATCATGCTATAAAACATATCAGTGTATAAACACGTTGAGAAGCCCTGCAAGGACACAGTATCATAAACTCTAACATTAAGAGAAAAAAAACTTAAATCAAATTCAACAGTCAACTGTTACCAAACAAAGTCTCAGCATTCACCTTTCCCCTTTTCTTTCCATAGGTCACTGACGCCTCTCAATGAAATTTAGAATCATAATCCCAAAGTGGCAAATAAACATAGAACTCCTTAACAATAAGTATATTAGCTAAGCTAGAAAGCTGTATTATTAAATATATTAATACAACTAGTTCTTCAGATGAGACAATTGTGATGACGTTAATAGTCCATAGAAGGTTAAGCTTCCATGAGACCCAAGTACTCACTGTGAGGTTTAGAAAAATCCTACTTACCGTTCCATACAACTGCACATTCTGAGCGCATTTCTTGCATATTGTATTGGTTTTACTGTTAAAGGAGAAAGAGACACAAGACTTAGAACATCTAATAATCGATTCCTCCTTAAACCCAAGGAGTTTGCTTACTGCTAAGGGCCAAGGTGAAATAGTCTAGACATTCAGTTAACTGGAGTTTAAGTATCTGCCCAATAAAGCTTTTAATTACTATGCAGTTCTTAATTTTATTATCTCAAATAAGACAATATTTTGGTTAAAATGAAGCATGAATCACTTCTGATTATGACAACTCCAAGGATTCTTAAATAAAATAAAATAGATATGGAGAGGACTCTCAAAATATTATGTTAGATTGCAATGGACTAGCAGAAAATAAACTAACTTTCCTCAGTTCAAATGAAGAGTTGAGAAGTCAGAGATGAGGAATGAAGTTTGTGCATTTGGATATAAATTCAGATTCTATCCATGTTGACCCTACTTTGTGTTCTCCTCCATAAGTAAAAGCATATAAAAATCCCGAAGGTGAGAAGATGCTATGACCAAACACTCAGTAATATTTCCAATTTCATTGACAAAAATAAAAATATTTGTTGCCTTCTGAAGACCCAGAAGTCATAATATCATATAAGTGCCTAACTAATAGAGCTGCCTAGAAAAAAAGTTATCTTTAAATAAAAACTAACCCTTCAAAAAGGGAAATACAAATGAATGTTTGGGGTACATTAACAGTTAAAACAATACTCTGAGGGCTAAAAATAAAATCACATAAAAATCTAGTCTGTTTTGTGATTACTTTCCCATATAATTTCTATGAATGTAATCATAAAGTCAACAGAAATATTTACATGAAATTTAATCATATTTAAATGAAATGCATTTAAATGCAATGTATTCATAAAGCTAACACAGACAATATTTAAATACAATTGAGATATTGGAAAAAACATTTTTGCAGGACAATTTTCTGCCACTCTAAAAAGGCAATACAAGAAGTGTAGTAGGCTGAGGAAAACATCTGGAAAGAAGACTAGCATCAGTGAGTCTGTGTCATTGAGCAACACTTTGGATTTAGGATGAAAGCTGGATTTATGATGAAAGGATCATGGTCCATGTCAATATATACCAGTGCTCCTGACAGAAAACACGCAAAGAAAAATTATCTCTGTGACTCATCTTGAAATAATTTGTATGTGGTATAAATTAAGAGTCCAAGTTCATATCCAAGTTCATATCTCACCACACACAGAAGACAATTCAAGACGGCTCACACATCTAAGTGTAAAACTGAAAACAGAAAGTTTCTAGAGTGTATTGTGTTTGAGTCCATTGATAGGAAGTTTTAGAGCAGAAAAACTAATCTGTGGCAGAAGTGGAAATCCGAATACTAACTGCCTGAAGGAAACAAGCGGTGTGTGGCGCTTGACTGGGTTGGCGCATGAGAAGACTCCAGAGTGATGGGAACATTCTGAATTCCCACAGGGTTTGGGGTGACAAAGATGTGCGTATTGTTTGTAAAACTCAACAGCTGATGTACTTAAGATTTGAGATCCCTTACACAAATTTTGCCTTTACAAAAGAACATTTAATTCTAGTTAGTGATATGCATGCTGAAGTGTTTAGGGATCAAGTATATTGATGTCTGTGACCTTAAAGTACTTCAGCAATAAGATGGATTGATGCATTGATGGGTCAGAGATGAAAAGATGGGAGGATGCAAATATAGTCAAATTTATACACTGTAGATTTAACTAGTAACTCTATGGGTATTCATCAGCTCTTCCAACTGTATCTTTTGTTTGAAAATATCCATAAACAAACGTTGGGGAAATATTACTAGAGTTGAAATGAGGCTGACTAAAGTTAGGCTTCTATGTCTATAACCACAGCCCCAACCTACTGAAGGCAGGAATACCTACAATTATGAAAGTTCCACACCAGTCTACCTTACTGCTATTGAAAAGATACTCATGATGCGTACTCACCCACACCTAAGGCTTCCTCACACTTCTAAAAATGAGACTCACACAAGGGAAGTGTAAAAGCAAATGAGTTTTCCAATGTGGGTAGGGCTAGCAAACCCTTTATCAGGATTGTCACATTTCCAAAAGTATCTTCTTTGGGCTGATACAATCTTCAATATCAGCATAATATACATACCAGAAAGTGAGATTCATGTTTTATTGTTGTGGGATCATTGCCTTCTTAGTGTCAAAAAGATCATAACCACAATATAAAATGATCAAGGGTCTGAAAAATAAGTAACTTGAAAACCATAAGCAACAATGAATGGTATCCAGAGAACCATATTCATACATGTATTACATGCCCTTCAATATGCTTTAGCAGGAAACTGCAGAATTTGTGTGTACCACAGAATTGATTTCAGATGTGTACAGAAAATGCTGTCACAGATTTTAAAAGAAAAAAAGCCTATTCAGGTCTCTCATGGTGGACAAAAACTCTACCTCTCCTGCTGGTACTCAGTCCTGCAGTAGGTACACTTCACAACAGGGTGTGCAATCCGACATTCCTGAAACGAAATGGGGACAGAACTGTAAAAGGCAGGCAAGAATGCAAACAGCCCTCAGCAGGAAGTAGAAGACCTGGGTACTATTCCTAGCACAGCCACTATGCTTGAGTGAGTCACTTAAACTTTCTGGGCCTTATTTTTCTCCTCTGTAGTATTTGCATCACTGCCCTGCTGTTGATGTGGGAGTTCGGTAAGAACTTATACGGAATTAGTCATAAATTGTAAAACAGACAGATGAAGAAGTCCCACACTGGGAACCAGAGCGTGAATTCTAGTCCCAGTTCTTCCGCCACCGTGCGATTTTGAGCAGGTTTACTTCTGAAATAAAAGTGCTAGATTAAAATCATGACTATTTATATACACAAAGCTTCTTTAAGATTCCATATACATTTGCATTTTCTCAGATATGGTAAACAAAAGTGGCAAAGTCAGGGCACCTGGGGCAAAAGCGGCAGAATTATGAGTTATTCAAGCCAGGGACACAAACTTAGGATTATCTGGAGATATCTCAAAATCCCATTTTTGCCGTTTGGGGGACTTTTAACTACTGTCCAACAGCACCTATATTCGTTTAAACAGGCAAATGGGATAAAGCAACTTCAAAAAACTGATCAGAAGCTGGTTAGAGCGAGGAGCGAAGGTCACCACCTGGATGCTGAAAAGTCACCCTGCTTCGTGCACTCTATTGTGGGGGCTTTCTTTTCTTTCCTTTTTAAGATAAAGCGTAGCTACCTCTGATTCTGAGACTGGCTCAAAATAGCAGGAGACTCTTGTCCCGAGCAGCTCCCAACTCCGGAGCTCGGTCCTAGGCGGGGCAGGGGGTCCCTCAGCCTACAATCAGGGAGACTGCGGCCACGAGAAAGGCAAAGCAAGGGGTCCCCGGCGCTGGCAAGGGAACGCGCGGTCCCCTCCCCCGACCTCGCCGGGTCGGCGAACAATCCCTCGCGGTTGCTAAGCACCCGGACACGCCGACCCGTGGGGGCCTGGACACGGCCCGGGACTGCCCCCGCTGCCCCGCCGGACCTCAATCGGAGTGCGTGCGGCTCCTCAATTAGGGGAGCCTACCACACCCTGCCCGGGGGACCCTGCCGGGCGTTCCCACATCGCCGGGAGCTCCGGGCCGCGCCTCCTGCGTTCCCAGTTCCCGGCCGCCGCCCCAGCCCGCGCACCTTGCACAGCTGCTGCCCCTGAGACAGCGCCTCGAAGGGGAAGCGCTGGTGGCACTTGGTGCAGGCGTAGAGCGCCGCCATGTCCGGCTCGGGCCGTGCTCACCGCCCCGCCGGCCCGGCCCGCCGCTTTATCTGTCAGTCTGAGGCACAACCTGGCGGCGGCGGCAGCGGCAGCAGCGGCGGCGGCAGGCTGTGGGTTGCGGCAGGCGGGAGGGCGGGAGCGGGCGGGCGGGCCGGGGCGGGCGCGGCGGCGCTGGACGCCCGTTTACTGGTTTACTTAGGCGTCAATCAAGCAGGAAGGGGCGGAACACGGACCCTTTGACGACTCTGATTCGGTACGAACTGGTGTACGCCACTGTGACGCGCGAGGCCGCGATTATGTAAAGCGCAGTCACGCGGGAGCGCCGCCTGGAGAGACCGTCTCCGACCCGGACCTCGGAAGCGCTGGGGCTCCTCCCCACTTCGCTCTACGTTCCCGCCCTCGTTCCGCCTCTCCTCTGCTGTGGGCGCGATCGCGCTTCTCGCGATACCTCAAGTGGCGTTGTGATATTTTGGTTTCCATGGAGCGGCCCTCGGGGGCACGTGGGGCGTGACTGGGCCCAGAGCGGAGCGTTGTAGATCTGGAACTCCCGCCGCCGCCCTGAGACGGAAGGTGGGCAGCCTGTGGAAGAAGCGCTCGGTCACTGGAGCACGGGGGCCCGCCCAGTCCTCTCACTGGAGCGAGAAGTAACTGAGGGCCACTTGGAAGGTTGTCCTCTGTCCCGGACCCCTAAAGAAGAGGGGGCCACGCAGAGCGCGCCCTTCCGTTGCAGGATCAAGGATTTCAGAGAGATGACAGGCGCCTCGCGGGGATGACTTCACACTGAGGCGTCCCGGGGCCCTGCAGGCCCCCTCGAGCGGGGCATGCAAATGGCCTTGACCTGCTTCCTGCTGTCTTCTCCGCTAGCCGCTCCCTGAAGCGGCCACGGGGGCTTGCCGGCTGGGCCTGGCCGCGGAAGGCAAGCCTCGCCCTCCTGGCACCCCTGCCTTCATTCGGTTCCCAGCTTGGCACTCCTAGGGGCTCCTGGTTGTCCGGCCGTCTCCAGAGCTTCCTACGGCACTGACCTTTGCAAGCGCGGGCCTTGGCTGCCCCTGTGCCGAGGTTGCCCGCTCTGCCCACCGCCTGGACGGTACTAATTAAAGTTTTACATCGACGTTCGCTTTGTTCTGTGGAGGGCGCGCTTGTTCCAGTGCCCTGCCCTCGACAAAATGTACTCCTTGAAGCCCGGATCTAGCCCTCTCTCTCTGCGGGTTACTCCAAAGATGTACTAATCAGATGTTTAGGCTCTGGGGTCCGAAAACGAAGGGTGAACCTCGCTAGCTGTGTGACCCAGGAACCAATGCTGAACTCCAGCCTCGTTTTCCTCAGTCGTACACTTGGTCAGTGAGAGACTCAAAAATACTACATGGAGGACAATTGCTTAATGGATAAGAGTTTTGTTTTGTCGCTAGGTAGAGGTGATGGCTGCGTGGCAGCGTGAGTGTCCTAACTCCGTTGAATTGTCAGCTTTAAAATGCTTCATTGCACCTCAGATTATTTTTACGGGGGTGAGCATACAGTCTCAGGAGCCAGACTGCCTGACTTTGAATCCTAGTTTTCCCACTTATAAGCTGTGTGACTTGAACACATTAAAAATAAAACAGACAGGGGCAGGTGCTCGGTGCAGCGGGTTAAGCTGGAGTGTGCAGCACCAGCATTCTGTGTGGAGTCCTGGCTGCTCCACTTCCAATCCAGCTGCCTACTAATAGACCTTGATACAGATGTGGATGTTTGCAAAGCACAATGGGAAAGAAGACTTTAGCAGCTTTTAGGCAGACAAATTGGGTTTATGTTTTTAAAAGGTGTGTCTGGCTGCCGGGAGAACAGACCGCAGGAGCCAGAGTTCGTGCAGTGAGGCCATTGAGAGGCTGTTGTGGTCACCCAGGTGAGAGTTAAAAGGTTGTAATGGGGAGAAGTAGGCAGATTCCAGATAAGTTTTGGAGGTAGAGCAACAGGATTTAGGAGAAGACTGGGTGTGAGAGGTGGTGAAGGAAAGGAAGAAATTGTTGATGTGGACAGCTGTGTGGATGGTGGCATCGTTAGGAGCAAGAGAAGACTAGAAGGGCAAGTGTCAGAGTCAAAACCCAGAGTCCGCTTCTGATAAGTCCTAGATGCTTGTGGGACACCGAGGAGACACCACATAGGCAGGGGCTGTGTTCTGTGCGCCTCTAAGAGGAGGGGATGGGATGAAGACAGTTTTGAGGACAGTTATCAGCATATCTGTGGTTATCTAAAGCCCTCCGACTGAACAATATTACCTTGGAAACCTGGAGAAGAGAACCAGGTTCCGGAGAAAAGAGAGAAACTCTCCCCGGCGGTTGAGGTCCAGGAAACACCTGCAGAGGGGCCAGGAGCCACAGGGTGCAGAGGGGAGGGTGTGGTTTCGCAGAAGAGCCAGAGACGTTACTCATCCGTGTCATCAGCTACCAGAGACTACAGTGAGGACAATGACCGATGCTTCCAGAAGTGACCTCAACACACAGCCATGTTTGCTGAATGTCCGCTCAGAGAAAACGTGTGCCTCCTTCCTTCAGGAAGCCTTCCTGGCCTGTCTTTGGCAGCTGCAGTTGGCAGTGCCCTGAGGGAACTGTGGGAGTATTAGTAGTAGTGTTCAGAGTAGGAAAAGAAAAGCAAGGAGTGGGTGTTCAGCCTAGTGGCTAAGATACCCATGCCCCATGCTGGACAGAGTCCCAGGTTCAATTCCCAGCTCTCACTCCTGATCCAGCTTCCAGCGAATACAGACCCCTGGAGGCAGTGGTGAAGGCTCAAGTAATTGGGTTCCTGTCACCCACCTGGCTCTCACTTCAACCCCTCCTTCTGTTGTGACCATATGGGAAGTGGGCCAAAAGATGTGAGCACTCTCTCACTCTCACTCTCTCTCTCCGCTTCTCAAAAAAACATTTTTTTGGCCGGTGCCGTAGCTCAATAGGCTAATCCTCTGCCTTGCGGTGCCAGCACACTGGGTTCTAGTCCCAGTCGGGGCACCGGATTCTGTCCCGGTTGCCCCTCTTCCAGGCCAGCTCTCTGCTGTGGCCCGTGAAGGCAGTGGAGGATGGCCCAAGTGCTTGGGCCCTGCACCCCATGGGAGACCAGGAGAAGCACCTGGCTCCTGGCTTCGGATCAGCACAGTGCGCCAGCCACAGCGGCTTTTCCAGGCCATAGCAGAGACCTGGGTTGGAAGTGGAGCAGCTGGGACTCGAACCAGCACCTTATATGATGCCAGCAAGAGTTTGGATTGACCTGAGAATGACAGGAAGTCATTGGAGGCCGTTAAGCTGTAGAGTGTTGGAAGGATTTGTGTTTTAAAAGACCACCCTGGCTTCTCTATGAAAAAAGGGGGTGAATGGAAACAAGGAGACTAATTAGCCAGAGGTGATGGTGACTGAGCTTGGGAAAGAGATTTGGAATATGGTTTTCTTTTTTCATTTCTTCTACTATGATAAAATTACAGTGGGCTGGCACCGTGTACAGTGGGTTAAGTTGCTGCCTGCAATGCCAGCATCCCATATGAATGCCAGTTTGAGTCCTGGCTGCTCTGCTTCTGATCCAGCTCCCTGAGCTAATGCACTTGAGAAAGGAGCAAAAGATGGCCCAAGCACTTAGGTCCCTGCCACTCAAGTAGGGGACCCCAAGGGAGTTCCAGGCTCCTGGCTTCAGCCTGGCCCAGCTCTACCTGTTGTGGCCGTTTGGGGAGTGAACCAGTGGATGAAAGATCTCTTCCTCTCAGTATCTCTCTATAACTCTGCCTTTCAAATATATAAATAAATCATTTCAAAAAACATAGTTTGCTATTTAACCATTTTGAAGTATACAATTCAGTGGCATTAAATACATTCACAAGAGTGGGCATTTGGTGTAGCAGTTAAGCTGCCACTTGCAATGTCTACCTCCCATAACTGAGTGCCTGAGTTAGAGTCCAGGCCCTGCCTCTGATTGCATCTTCCTGCTAATGTGAACCCTTGTAGGCAGTGATGGCTCAAGTACTTGGATCCCTGCCATGCACCTGGGAGACATGGATTGAGTTCCAGGCTCCTGGCTTCAGCCTAATCCAGCCCAGGTTGCTGCGGATATTTGGGGAATAAACCAGTAGATGGAAGATCTCTCCATCTGTCTGTCACTCTCTTTCTCTGTCTTTTTCATAAAATGAAAACAAAAAAGTGGAAACATGTAAGGAACACATTCACAGAGGCCAGTGCTTTGGTGCAGCAGGTTAAGCCACCACCTGAAATGCTGACCTCCCACACGAGCGTTGGTTATAGTCTCAGCTGCTTCCAATCCAGCTCCCTGCTGATGCACCTGGGAGGGCAGCAAAAGATGATTCAAGTACCCGGGCTCCTGCCACCAACATGGGAGACCTGGATGAAGCTCCTGCCTCCTTGCTTCTGCCTGGCCCAGCCCTGGCCCAGCCCTGGCCATTGTGGCCATTTGGGGAATGAAACAGTGGATAAAAGATCTCTCTCTGTCTCTCCCTCTCTCTCATTCTCTGTAACTGTCTTCCAAATACATAAATAAATATTTTTAATAAAGTTTAAGATTTATTTATGTATTTGAAAGTCAGAGTTACACAGAGAGAGGAGAGAAAGAGAGAGAGAGACAGAGAGAGAGAGGTCTTCCATCCGCTGGTTCACTCTCCAATTGGCTGCAACAGCCAGAGCTACGCCAACCTGAAGCCAGGAGCCAGGAGCTTCTTCTGTGTCTCCCATGTGGGTGCAGGGGTCCAAGGACTTGGGCCATCTTCTACTGCTTTCCTAGGCCATAGCAGAGAGCTGGATTGGAAGTGGAGCAGCCGGGTCTCAAACCGATGCCCATATGGAGTACCGGCACTTCAGGCCAGGGCGTTAACCCGCTGTACCACAATGCTGGCCCCATAAATAAGCTTTTTTAAAAATAAAAAAATTGGCTGGCGCTGCGGCTCAATAGGCTAATCCTCCACCTAGCGGTGCTGGCACACCGGGTTCTAGTCCCAGTCGGGGTGCTGCATTCTGTCCCGGTTGCCCCTCTTCCAGGCCAGCTCCCTGCTATGGCCCGGGAGCACAGTGGAGGATGGCCCAAGTGCTTGGGCCCTGCACCCCATGGGAGACCAGGAGAAGCACCTGGCTCCTGGCTTCGGATCAGTGTAGCACGCAGACCGTACGGCCATTTGGGGGGTGAACCAACGGAAGGA